GACATGTGGAACATGCATAACATTGAGATTAAAGGGCACATGCATTATTCTCTATTGCTCCAATCTCTCGACTCCTTGAGTTAAAATCTGTCATATATATCCAATTGCCTCACAACATTCTTCTTTTTATTCTTTACTTTTTGTCTGCCATAATCATACCCAATTATATATAGTTTTTCTATTAACTTTAAAACTTTCTAAAGTGGATTTTGCTGCCAAAACATTATCATGACCATCATTCTTCTTTTTGTATCGACGAGTAATTTTTTTTTTTCTCTAATAAGGTGAGTCAATAATTATCAACAACAGTGATCCAGCCATAAGATGAGGATGCTATATGATTAAAATTTTGTATTTTATTATTGAGTTGGTTTAACCTTTAAAGTATACTTATTTAGTCTTGCTTTTTGTTTTGGTCGAGACAAAGATCGCGACAAAGGTCACTGGCCCAATAAACGCTCCACGTTGACTAGTGAGGCCCAGGTGGTCAATAATTAACTTAATTAAGAAAGTTTATAATCAAAAAATATCTTCTAATAAAATTTTCATCGTGACATCAAAGTCAAAACAAATGTATATTCAAATATATATTTACATACATAGTAGAATTTTTTTTATTAGAGTTCTACTTTTGTAACTAAATTTGATAATTTATTTTATTTGTAGTAATTATGATTTTTTCCGTTAGATTAAACTGTATTTGTTGTTCCTAAATTTTCAGATACCTTATTTTTTTTTACTGGCTTGCCAAAATCTTGGATTAGACCTATGCTATGTATCATAATCGTGATATATATTAATGTGAATTAGGTCAATTTGCAAAACATACCTATAAAAACATATAGCTGCAAAATGTAATTTTTTTTTAAATATACATTTTTTTTTTCAAATAAAAACTGTATATAAAAATATATATTCATTTGGTGTTATCACATATGGATATACAAATTTCTTAACACACTAAAAATAATAATATAGAACCTTAAAATAGTAGATAATACATTTATATGATGGGAAATTAACTCTATTTGAAAAAATGAGAGGTTTAGTAACAGTTTAAGAAAAAGAAAAAAAGTTGGTAAAATTTTATTTTACTTGATACCATATACAAAAAAAAATACAGAGTATTTAGTAACAGTGTACCACCACATCATTTTATAAACAAACCTCTAAAAGACTATAACAAAAGTTATCTACCTAACATATACTAAAGAGTCAAAGACGTATTCCATCATTCACCATCAGAACCGTATCCATCAATTATTTTTTTTTAAAAGCAATAAGAATATTGCATAATATTCCCTTTAAAATATGAACCTTTTGTCAATCATTTAAATACTTTATTATTATTTCAAATATATTTGTTTCAAATTTTCTTATCTGCGTAAAGTTTTTTATTGAATAAATCATGTTTTTTAAATAATCGGTTAAGATTTTAAAAGTATAAATTATCAATCTTTTTCTATTATCTCTCTATAATATGATTACTTATCATTTATATTTCTTCTTTATCTTTGCCTAGTGAGTTTATATATTTTTGAGTTTTGAAAAATAATTCATTTTCTTATGTAGTTTTCTCTTACAGCTTTTGTGTTTCTCATATATATACTTATCATTGCTATTTTTTATTTATCTTTGTCTCGTAAGTTTATATATTTTTGAGCTTGAAAATATAATTCAGTTTCTTATGTATTTTTCTCTTACAATTTTTGTGTTTGTCATATATATATATAGTTAGTTAGTATTTTATTAAATTTTAGCAAAACAATAGATTATAATATTGATTAACTCGAAAACAAAAGTTTAATAGTATTGAAATTAAATCTGAGTAATTGACTTAATTTCAGTTGTAAAATAAAGATGAATTGTGAAAGTCTACGAATACGATAAAGCGAAATAACAATTTGTTCCAAAAAATAACCAAATAAAATTAAAATCGGATTAACAATATTTGAAATATTATTTGTCTTGAATTTAAAAATCAAGAACTCCAAAAAAAATTGAAAAGATTACTAAGATGATGTGATGATATATCATTAATTT